GAAGAAGACTACAGGACATAGTTTAAATTTTTACATATCAACAGTGCAGTACTTTATCTTAAGTAATATTTTCAGGCACTTTCTCCAACACTGCCTACAGTGGACCTGATGTGAACTAGAATGAAGTTGGCTGGACATAAAGTTTACTGGACCTCAAGTAGTCTGTGGTATTGTATTTAATATTGTTGTGGTACTTTGAATGTTAGGAAAGTTCTACAGGCATTCCCCAGTTTGAAAGAGTACTGTGTCTTATAAAAACCTATGGTAAATCGAATCACTATTCCTATAGACTCACATTATAAAAGCCAAGATACTTTTCTACAACGAAAACAGTTCCCCCCCAAATTATGTACGGTCCCCCAAAAAGTATCGATTGAATTTTCTAGCGGTAAAATTTGAAACTCTAGATGAAATACTTTGCTGTGATCCCCAGTGCATCAGCATAAGTTGGTACAGGTACATCCGGTCACTATATGAGCAATAGCCGTAGACGGCGGGTAGCGAGGGAGTCGTCCTCGTGTGACATACGACCGTACGGTATATGCTTTACTATAACAAGAAATTCATTGAGCTATATTAATGTATGTATCGTGCCGGTTAGAAGCGAGGCCCCAACCGAGGATTACAAAAATATCGGAATATACATTAAACGGAAGAGTTTTGGAACGTCACGAGCTAGACCGAGACGGACCTCGGGGCATACGTTTCGCCACCGCGTCGTAGTGACGGTTTTATTCGTACCGAGATGCACAATGTAGTCGTCGACGACACGTCTGATTTTTGAGGAGTGACGGAGCAAATAGTAGTTGATATTAGAGTGAACAGGTACAGCAATATACAATATATTGGTCTAAATGGGATCTGCCAAATATTATCGATACGTAAATGGCGTCGGTTTAACGTCAAAATAAGATTTTAATCGGCGCGTCGCCCGTCGTTTAGCGGCGGGTAACCCATCGCGATGCCCGAGGGTTCGCTCGCCCCATTGTGCCGAGTTATTCGAGCGTTGCGCGTACCCTCGTCGCGAAGGCTAATAATAGCGCCTCTCTCCCCGTTGTGTCTTTCCGATAATTCCTCGGTTCATTTGACGTACGATCCCGGTAATGACCGGCTCGGCGTCCGTTTACGACACGCAATCCAAATTCGCGCTACGTGCGATGCGAATCCTCGGAGGATTTGCATCTTTCAAAAACACATACAGTCGTGCGCCGGTTAACATCCGATAGCATATACAGTCGGCCCTTAACATTCGCGGGGGTTAGGTAACAGAGATACCCGTGAATGTTAAAAATCCGTGTACTATTGCTACCCCCCCCCCCTAAAAAATCCCTGGCCCCCCATGTCCTTATTTACCGTATATACCTGTGTGTAGTTTGAGTTTTTAAGACCAAATTATTTGGCAAAAATTGGGGGTCGACCTCTAAACGGGTAATAGTTTCGTTAGGTTGAAAAATATTTACCAGTAAACAATGGAAACGATGCACCAACACACCACCCGCTGTGAGTGTTGGTACAGTTGCCAGGGCAGATCTGTTGCGAGCCCAAAGTAGCCAAATCCATGGTATGGTAGCACAGGACGATGTAAAACAAAGTATTCATTTATTAAAGTTAATTTATAGATACTGGACATAAATGTTTGTTCATTACATTTGAAACATCAATCTTTGTTAATTAAATTTGAAACAAGAGAAAACTACGATACTGGATTTTCATTAAAATATTACATCACAAGTATATTTTACCTTAACTGTGACTGAATGAATATATTCTCGGAAATAAATATGGAAATGTAATATTTTTGCTGGAATGACGTACATATTATAGTGGGAAGTGGGATAAAATCACGAGGAAAGACTTTCGCTTTCTTTCGTTGTTCAAAATATTTTACCGTAATCGCTTTTCGAATGGTTTTCAGTTAAAAAACTGTTGTATTACAATAATATTCTATCCTAATTCACTTGTGATGCAACAGTTTTTTAACTGAAAACCATTCGAAAAGCGATTACGGTAAAATATTTTGAACAACGAAAGAAAGCGAAAGTGTTTCGTCATGATTTTATCCCACTTCCCACTATAATATGTACGTCATTCCAGCAAAAATATTACATTTCAATATTTATTTCCGAGAATATATTCATTCAGTCCGCGAGTTAGGTAAAATATACTTGTGATGTAATATTTAGCCAAAATCAGTATGTGTTTTTTCTTGTTTCAAATTTAGTGTAAGATTGATACTTTCAATGAACAAATTATGTCGATTAACAAACTCTTTTTCAAACATGAAAGATCTATAATTACTGCTATTCCGCAGGTATATCCCTTAATGACGACTTTCTCAATGCTTCAATGTACAGAATATTCCTCTGGCGGGGCAATCCGCGTATTTGCGAATCCGTGAATGCTAAACCCGCGTATGTGAAAAGCCGACCGTACGTCCGTGCCCCCCCTCGAAAAAACACTTCCGTGATGCCTGCTGGACCACCACTCCAAGACCCCCCTGATGGAGACACGACGATCCTTCCCGTACTGGCTAGATGTTATGTGTTAAAGGAATAGAATTCCTTAGGCTTTAGTAAGCATTTTCCTCCAGGTGTAATGTTAACCTACATCTATTGAGGATAAAATCTTTCACCTACAAATTGACAATAACACATTTGCTGTAATCGGACATATCTAGTTGCCTCAACAATTGCAACCCTAGTTGCAATTGGGGTTGCAATTTGAAATTCTGTGTCATTACTGAGGAATAACGAAGTCTCTGGTGCACTGCACTCTAAGAATAAGAGAAAATGGACTCGGGCATCCCGAAGGGAGAGAAAACGGACTTCCACGACGGGAGACTCGAGCACTAACACGTGCCACTCATACCGAGAGACTGGACAAGTTTTACCGACCATTAGTTATGTACGTTATCTAGTGAATTTAGTCAATATTGTACAGTATAAGTATACTGCAATTACAGCGGTCCCTCGGTTAACAATGGACCCGAGTGCAAACCCTTACTGTACGTGTACTAAACGATTACGGTACTTAAATTGTTATGTCTATGGCAAATATAGATTGTTTACACAGATATTCAAATACTATCTTACAAGTTATATTCACCCAGGTCGTTTGGGTGGCAAATTATGAGAAGAGCTTAGTCACTCTTAAGTAATGATAAATAAACACTCGGGCCTTCAGCGCCAACTGTCAAATCTTATCTCAAATAAATAAAGACATTGTCACCTCACTTCCCCCCCCCCCTGCTCGCTGGCTACCTCCCTCCTTGTGTTCCCAGACAAAACATTGGTGATAACTTTATGCTTTAAGGTGTTTATTTTATATAATATCTCAGACTAAAGTTAGGGGATTACAATTTGCATAGCTGGAATCCTTGCAAGACAGCCAATAATTTGAATATAAACATTATATATATACTGTATTTTGTTGAAGATATAAAAATTGTAGTACATTTTATAATATAAAGTTTTTCAACTGTATTTTTGGGTAGATTTATATCAATTTCTTCATTTATTTTCATCCATTTACATGCAGACACCACAATAAAAGAAACAAACGACCTCGGTGCAAAGCCGGAGCATTGTTGTACTAATTTGATTACGGTACAAAAATTGTTATGTCCGGTGCAAATTACAGCATGTTTATATTCAAATTAATCAGTATGTTACAAGAATCCCAGCAATGTTAATTATATTGTACCAGGTCATTTCAGTGGCATTTTAAAATGAGAGAAGCTTAGTAGGACTGTTAAATAAACTCACAGAGACCTTCGGCTCAAACTGTCAAACATCTCCTCTTAACTCTCTCCCCCATCTGTTGAGCCAGGGTTTTAGGCTTACAGTTTTTATCTTACATAATATTTCAGACTAAAGTTAGGAGATTATAATTTGCATTGCTGGAATCCTTGCAAGACAGCCAATAATTTGAATGTTAACGTCATATATTTTGCTCGAGAGATAAAAATTGTTGTACGTTAGTGTACAGTACTGTAGTACATTTTATAATATAAAGTTTTTGAACTGTATTTTTGGGTAGATTTACATCAATTTCTTCATTTATTTTCATGCACACAGCATACTAAAAGAAATAATTGACCTTAGTGCAAAGCTGGAGTTTTGTTGTACTAATTTGATTTGGGTACTAAAATTGTTATGTCTAGTGGAAATTATAGCATGTTTATATACAAATTAATCAGTATGTTACAAGAATCCCAAGAATGTTAATTATATTCACCCGGGTCATTTCCCGGCCGGGAAAAAATGCGCCACAGACCCGGGCGCCAACCGTCGGTGTCGCCGGGCTTTATCTTAAGTAATATCACAGACAAAAGTTAGAATTTAATTTGCATTGCTAAAATCGTTACAAGACGGCTAATAATTTTAACATAAACGTTGTATATTTTGCACAAGAGATAAAAATTTGTAGCCCTTTGTAATAAAATTAGTTACAACTAAAATTTGTATGTGAACTATAGCATGTTTATATTCAAAGTAATCACAATTTTATAAGAATTCCAGCAATGTTAATTATATTCTTCCAAGTCAGTTTAGTGATATTTCATAAGAGAAAACCTGAAAGTCACTGTTAAGGACAGATAAATAAATAAGCTCTAGACCTTGGCATCAACTGTCAAACCGATAACCCTCCTCCCCATCTTGCCGCGAATCCGATCACGAGTAAACGGGCCATTTCGCGTCTCGTAATTTTAGCCGCGTCGATTTACGAGCGTCCGTTTTAACGCGATACTACAAAAACGATGTTTTGTAGGAGATGGGCCGAGGTGCATTTGGGTATATTGGGTCTTTTTAGTATTTTGTGTTAGTCTCGAGTACCAAAGTAAATTGTTCCATTGAAACCACTTTAATTGAGTCCAAATTTGGTTTAAAGCTATTAGCTCTCTAGGAATGCGCCTCGCGTCACCGACGCGTACGCGGGACCGGTAACAATTTTACGTAAACGCGTCGACGACGTAATATTCGACAATGCCGTCGGGTCGTCGACGTGCCGTTTCTTCGTTTAGTAAATAGTCGTGGCGATTTTTGTCGCGCGCGTGTCCGTCGACGGGCACGCCGAGGGCGGTCCGTCCGCGGATGCGGGCCCGCTCGAGATTCGGCCCGTATTGCGCAGTCGTACGGTCCGTCGTCGTTTGCGAGAAGTACTCGTTTACGTAGTCTCGCGTGCAGTATATTGCATTTTCTAGCAATAGACTAGTTACGATCGTAGATTAGTTCCATCACGTAGGGTATCGTCTCGCCGTCGGCCCGGGACACACCTCCGGCCACTCGACACTCTGCTTACCGGTACACGACACAAATTAAAAATGATCAACACGATATTTTACGAGGGCATTATGATTGATTTATAATACCCTATGCAATGGTTGTATAGATGTAGTGCAGTATAATTATTAAATGCAGGCAGCATTCACATCACAAACTTAACCCACAGAAGAAGTCGCCTCGGGCAGCGGAAGCGCGATCCGGGAGAAGGACACGAAGAACGACCGTAGATCGTCGCTCCGGAGACGGGTCGGCGAGTGCCGCTCTCCGACGCGAGACGATCGTCGAGAATAACCTACGTGTTTTTCTATTTTTATGGATGCTATTTTAAGGATAACTAAAGCTCAGTCAACGGTTATTTTAGCTTAAGGTCATATTATACGTGTATTTGTAATGTACAGTATTTCATTGAGTAAGAATGCTAAAACTTGCCCGGCGGTCGACCCCCAAAACAACTGCGGCGACCCGCTCCGGCACTCGAGAAGACGGGAGCTCCGAGTACACGACGTTAAAGATTAACGGATAGTTTGACGACTATACCACCCCTTGTTCCCTCTACCTCCAGCTAAATGTATCCCTCCCTCCACTTACCACTCTTCCTTTCCTCATCTATTATCTTTCCCTTCCACCCCTCTATCCCACCATCTGTCCCCCCTCCCTTTCTTCACGTACCATTCTTCCTTTCCTTATCTATTATCCTTCCCTTCCACCCCTCTATCCCTTCCCTCCACATACCACCTTTCTCTCCTAGCACCTGTCGTTCCTTTTTTGTGTTTTATTTAATAAGTTTTATAGTATATGATGGTCACCTTATTAATAATGTACCATTTTGTGTGATTACAATTACACTACACACACTTAGTCGAAGTGACCAGTTATTAGTGTTGATATTAATGGGATAAATATTAGATAAGTTTATTGGAGTTTGCTATAAAATATGTGACTATAATTATAAATTGTGAGTGTGAAGAAGGGTTTATAAGTTGTATATATGTCAATTAGAGGAACAAATAATTTGCTAACCACACCCTAGTCCTTCAATGGAAAACGCATCGAAATGCGCAGCGGCGAATGCATTCGGCGGGAGAATAATGCGGCGACACGCGTAGAATACTCGTACGCCACTCTCGGGCACGTACGTTTCCATTTACTAAAGTTAGGTGGGTTTGTTTGGGTGGCGTGGGACCCAGAGGGCATCGGCAGGCGGTCGCGTCCGGCGGTTGCCGTGCGAGAAATTGGGAGGACGGGCTTTCACGTTGCAGAAACTAAGGAACGGCATCTTCCGGCGGAACCACAGCCCGCGATTAAAGGAACGCTCGGGTTTGACGCCCACGGACCGAGCGCGCGGCTCCTCCGCCGTAACAAGAGTAGTCGATTGAAGTCCCCTCTTTTGCCTGGGTGGATGTGTCTGTGCTAACCGTTTTAGGCAAGTGAATGTTTGGTACAGCAGATTTGGGGATTCATTGTAGGGTAGACTTGCCATACAGTGCAGTGTTTTAATTGGTATTATATTGCGGCGATCGGCGAGCACGGAGACCGAAGCCTCACTCGACCGTGTCTCGGGAGGCGTGGGGTTTGGTCCGAGGCCACTCGCAGTCATCGTCGAGGGTATAGTCCGGAACGCCGTTCGACGTGACGTCTCGTCGAAATTCCGGAGCGGTCTTCTCGTCGCGGGGCGCGCCGGAGGTCGACGCTACGACGTTCCCGGAGGGGTCGTCGTCGTCGTCGTCGGGTATTTGACGTGCATCCGGAGTAGAACGAGGGCACGCGTCGAACCGTCGAAAGTGCGCAAGAAATGAGATCGCGTAAATAACGGCAGATTAATTTCGTCGACACTCGTACGTATAAGAGTGCAAAGTAAATAAATAATACGTATTTTTTTTATGGGAATTAGCCCACCCGGGCACGGGTCACCGACCCACATCGGGGCGAAAATGTAATAATAATAATAATAATTGTTGAAGTTACAGTGTTCATTTTTGGTGGATATCAACGAAATATGATGCGAGAGGCTCAGACGACGACACAAACGACGACGCTCTCTCCGGTATATTTTCGGGACCGTCCGTAAAAACGAAACCAAAACACGCGTGCGCATTCAAAGTGGCGCATTATTGCACAAGTAAAATAAAACATATTGCCATAAATATGGGGTAACCTAGTTTATATGTAACAATAATACTGAAGAACCTTAAAGAAATACAAAATGGAAAAAAAAATCAAAAGTGAGGAACAATAGATTTATGTTGTGTTGTCAATAGTAAGAGAAACAATCGAGACAGAGAGTCAGACGAGCGACCCGGGACTCGGTCACAATTTTAGGGATGCCACGTAGCAGGAAGATCTACCACGGACGACACATTACGCTTCCAATATTGTCTGCGGAGGTGGTATCTCCCCGTTTGGTGGCTGCCTAAGTATGTAAGATTTTCCAATGGAAAGTGTATGTTTGGCAAATGTATCCAGGTCTTTAGAGAATGTACTCAGATATTTGGGTTAGGTGTCAAGGGTTCATGTATAATTTGCATGCCTAATTGACTATGTATATTTTTTAACCTTAATTTTTCATTTGCAGTCAGAAACGTCATTTTTGTGCGGACCGGCGACTCGACGGACCCCGGCCGAGGACGCCGCTCGAACCGCGGGTGAGAATGTCGGACGACGCCGTATTGTAATGTTTATATCGCAGTGTACGGTATTTACTTAATGGTTCTGTGAAGAATAGGAATGCGTATGTGGCGTGCCTCGGCGTCTCCGTAGGAATTGCGTAGAGTAAGTGGAAGGTTTTTAAGGGAGACGAGAATTTATTAAGCGGCGCGTCGTCGACGAAATATCGAAGGAAGTTTTGACCGGTTACCGAGAGGAAATAAGACAGGAATTTACGAGTAAAAGAGTAGTAGAACGTAAAGATAACGAGGGAGAAATGAAAATGCGACCGACGACGAGACTCGGGTGCCATCGAAAATGCGTAGAGGGACGGACATTACAAGTGTTATAATGAGAGTACTTAATTTAGCATAGAGATATAGAATTGAAGGTGTCATATCTGGTCTAAAAGTGTTGGATACAATATGAAAAGTATTATTAAAAAATGGGAGTTTAAGCCAAGGGTTAGGGTGGTGCTGGCACTTCCCCCTCCCTTCCTATTGGGATAAATCGAGAAACAAGACGAATTCTCCCCACCCCCTCCTCCACAAAGGGGAGACCAGATATCGCATTGAAATACCTTTAAAAGTGTAATTAGGGATCCTCCTCAGACACATTGCACCATTTGAACGCAGACGTAAGATTATCCTCATCGCCGTACACGTCCCGAGGAGACGAGGCGTATCGAGTTTACGCGGATGCATACGAGACGTTTCCTTTCGAGTACGGGTAGTTCTGCTATAATGCGATAGTTGTGTTCTTGTAAAACATCGTGTTATAGAAATTCGTGTAATAGAAATGACAGGGCTTATGGAGAAAATAGGGTTAGGTGCAGATTACTCCAAATCGACAAAAATGTCGTAGTACAGTCTAAATAAATGTTACATTGATATCTAATATTGAAATCATACAGTAAATGTTACACTTGACCTTGAAAAAATCTGAATATAACTTGATGGGGGAGAAGATTGATGTTGAGGAGTCATGAAACATCAAGCTTTTCTTCGAGTGTTATAGCCTTTCTTTTATGATCACCAGAGATATTCTTCTTTTCCATAGTCACAAAATTGGAGAAACAGTAATCACCGAGGACACTTAAAAATTTCACACGTGTTTCAAACAAAGTGTGGAGTAAACAGAGCGCGCGGGTCTAAAACGCTATGTATTTTGTTTTTCTCTTATTTTACATATACTGTAGAGGTATACTGTATACATAAATATTACATAAATTATTTGTGCAATTCTTCACAAACAAAACACATAAATCAATTGAACTTGCGATGTCGAACGTGAACTGTAAACACTGCATAACCCTGCGCCAAGCCACAATGTAAAGTACACTTTAAACGCTACTTATTTTGTTTTTCTCTTTTATTTAAATTTTTACAATTTACATATTCATATTATGCTACAGCGCCCACAAAACACGAGAAACGTTCGAGTCCCCCAGTAGAGATGTCCGTTCTCTATCCACTCGAGGATGTGTCGGTCGTGCGTTTTCTTTTTGTGTACTCGCTCGGGGACTCGAGTTTATAACACAGGATGATAAGGGAATTTGAATTTATTTGTTGATTTATTTATTTATAATATACTGTAATATATTAAATATGCTGCAAGTATTTTCTTTAATTTATATACTTTTTTCTGGAAAAAGGGAGGCTACCATTATACCCGGTAATGTACATTTATGGCGATCGTTAAGGACCAAACTCCGAATCCGTGACGTGACTTCCGTTCATCATTTATGTCCTAAATTTACCAATGTGGGTAGTTTCAAGAATTAACGCAGTCATTTACCGAATATTCTTTGCCCCAAAATAAATTTCAAATGAATTATTTATAGGAGATAAGTATTATGATCAGTAAATATACCGATATGCATTACCGACCACAAGGACGGCTAAAAATAGGCACAGACGGTCACAGTCGAGGTCACTTTCCCTTTGTTGTCACTGTAGGACCTTGTGAGTGGTTTACTGTATACATAAATATTACATAAATTATTTGTGCAATTCTTCACAAACAAAACACATAAATCAATTGAATATGCGAAGTCGAACGTGAACCGTAAACACTGTGTGATGTAAAGAGAGCGCCGGTGTGAAACGCTATGTAATTTGATTGTCTCTTTTATTTAAAATTTTACAATTGACTTATAATATATAGGTATACTGTATACATAAATATTACATACATTATTTCTGCAATTGTTCACAAACAAAACACACGACTCAATTGAACACGCGATGTCGAACGTGAACCGAAGCCATAACAATCGTTCGAGTGGAATCGCGTCGGAGGAAACGAGTTCGCGTTTTACAAATATCGTTCCTCAATTCATAAATCGCGTCGTCAAAACACGCGTTATAGCAGAACTCGCCGTATAGTTTTTGGTTCACCGCCAACACGTTTATCCTCGTACCGGATCTCCGTCGTCGCGGAAGTTACGTTCGCTAGACGTTCACAGACGTAAATGGTACGATCTCGAGAGCACGACGTACATTCGGTCCGGATCGAGTGGACTTTCCCAATCGTCTTATAGATTTGTCGAGTTCTTGGGAATGGTACGAATATGTACAATTAATATTATGTTATGTATAGGTATATTGTATGTTTTTTGATAATCGTTAAGTATGGGAGGTGGCGACGTGCACACCGTACCGACGGGTGGAGGAGCGTCGAGTTTGATTTTGTATTAGGCGACGGGGTCGCGGGTATTTACGGAGATACGGCAGAGCGCGACGTCGGCGCCCGCGTACGGCACGAGCGGGAGGAGTAATTTGTGCGTGACGTAATTGTGGGGTAGTCGAGTATGCCTGTGTGTTTTAGTTGGCAATAGTGTGTAGATATGTTTGTGTATAGGTATACTGTAGAAAGAATGAACTTAGATGAAGTTTGTTTGGGAATTAGTAGAATTTGTAATAGTAGATAATTGTCGATATATTTTGACAGTAATTTGTCCGTTTCAGTTGCGGAGGAGCGCGCCGATACGAGTCGGAGACGGCTCGTACAGTCGGCGCACGAGAGCGGTCCGGACGAAGACATTCGGGAACCGAGGACGAAGGCGCTCGTCGACTGCGGACGAAGACACCGGTCGACGCGCGAGGAAGATGCTCCGGAACACGGGAAGAACGCCACACTCCCGAGTGCGGGAAGACACTCGTCAACGCAGAAGGAGACACGCATCAATGTCGGGCCGGCGCGATTGTTTTAAAGACGATTTAACGTGTAAAATGAATGTACGTGTTGTTTGTAACGATTGTTATAATGTTTGTAGTATTGTTTTTAGAGACCGACTCTGCGAAGACGGAGGAAGTCGATACATGTCGAGAATGAATTTATTGAAGATGTTGCCTGTGATCACTAGGTGTTTGCACTAATTTGGGGAGATGATTACGATCGTAGAACGTCACGGAATGCGGCGCGCATCCGTAAATAACGGCAGCATAAATACGAGAGAACGCGGCGGCGGCGGCGGGGAAGTGCGCCTTTTGAAAGTAAAAGAACGGGGGAGATCGGACCGACATAGATGGTGTTGTTGTGGTAACCGATAAGAATGGAGAAATGATGACTATTTGGTGGGTTTTTTAGGACAGAGAGAGTAGTTATATATTAGTGAAGATATAAAGTAAAAGGTGATAAGGATGGTGGTGGGGGGGACAACGAATGATATATTTTGTAGGGTATTAAAGGAATTGACTCGTCAGTGCCGAGTCGGCGTAATTGTGAGAAACGGATGCGACGGGGATTTTAAAGAAGTTGCGGGGAAATTGGCGGAAGCGACGATCGCAATAACCTTTCGACGTGGGACGGACGACGACGAATTTAGTAAATGGCGGTTTAGGAAAGGGTCGTACGTAAAGCGGCGGGTGCGGGCGCGTGCGGATACGGACGACGGTCGATCGGGGTCCGTTTACGGGACGGGAAAGAGGACCGACGGAGAACGGACGGGAATTCGGACGGAGACGAGGCGGCGCACAAACGAAAGTATACCCGCGAGATGCGTAAAGAATGATTTGGAAGTAGATTTAACTAAGAGTCGCGGGAAGGTTCGACAGGTGTATTAGTTTTACGTAATTGTGGCAGTGCGTTTGAGAGCGGGCAGTCGTGGAGTGCGCGTGGGTACCTATTTTGAGACCGCGACATCTACCGGTAAGGAAATACGTAATGCAGCAGTAATATATTTGTGGGATGAATTTATACTCGTTCACCCGTACTCCGTGTTGCTCCACTCGTGTTAAGGTGTTTATTGTGAAGGCGTTTGTATAATAATAAAATTTGTTGGACGAGTAGGGGAAGGAATACGAGCACAATGTTTAATTTGTAAGCCCTCCCTTTTTTGTCTTTTCCCTCTGCCTCCCCGTCCTCCTCCTCCTTTTTTGACGTGTTTGTCGTGCGGCTTCTTTTCCCTCCGTTTCATTGCAACTCCCTTCGTTTTTCTCCCCCCTACCTGCTTCTGTCCGTCCTCTTCTTCTTCCTGTTTCCTTCTTTTACTCCTCCTCTTCGCCATATGTCTTCCTCGTTTATTCTTTGGCTTGTTCTGCGTCTGTTCCTTCTCCTCCTCTGTTTGATTGTGATTCCCTTGTTGTTTCTCACCCTCCCATTGCTCTTGATCCTGTTGTTACTCCCATTTGTTGGTTGTTTTTGTGTTCGTGTATATGTTTGTTGTTACCAATTGAATTTGTGGTTGTATTACTGCTGCTGTGTGTATGTTGGATTGTATTTATTTGTTGTTATATATATGTTGTGAGTGTGAATTAGATATATTGTGTTGATATTTGACTAAATGTTGTTGTTAAGAAGAGGAGGAGTTCTATTTAGATTTGGAAAGTAACTGTCATCGAGGACGAGAATGCACGTACCGTCTGTAGTTTGAATACGCGGTCGCGTCGGGTTTGGGCAGTTATATATCGGGAAATAGTTGAAGAGTGTAAGTTAATGTTGTGGACTTGTGAAATTGTTGATTGTGGAATAGTTATTGGTTTTAATTTGAAGGGTGTCAATTGCGCACCGGGAATATTTTGTCGGGAGTTTGGCGTCGTCGGAATCGACCGGAACGGCTGGAGTCGCGGAGTTATTTTTTGTCGTCGTAGATTCGTTCGCGGAGTCGTAAAAAATGTGGCGTCGTCGACGAAAGTCAATCGTCCGCGGATCGGTCGTCTTCGAATATTTGTAGACTTGTATATGTTTGTTTGTAATTGATTGAAGTTATTTGTAGTTTGAAAAATGTTTTGACTTGTTGTTGTTGTTTGATTATAGTATAGTCATTTGTGCAGTTTGAAATTATTTTGGTTTGTGGATTTGGAAAATGTGTTGCATGTATGTGGACTTTGAATAAGTGAGATATTTTGTATATTTTTCATGTTTGTGGACCGAAATGTCGTACCTCTAGTCGGGCAACCTCGGGACCGGACCATGGAAATTGACCCTTTTCCTGGATAGATAGTGACTTGTGCTTATGCTTGGAAGCACTAGCACCACTTTCTCTGCATCACGGCCTCTTTGAAGACATATTGAAGGGTTAAATGTCGTATAGTAGCTCGTGAAATTTGGAGAGTTTTTAATTCTTAACGTATTTTATTGGAACAGAGCCAAAAATAAATAAATAGAAATTTTGACGGCGGAAAGTGGAATTTCGACGGGTTTGAACGGCCCGCCAACGTGCAGACGACTGGCACAATCGCGTAAAGAGCGTCATTTGTCTCGTGTAGAAAAGAATCATTATTGAATGTCTTTTTTATTGAATTACTGTTTGTGTGCAAAATGAGCAATACAATTCATTAATAATACGTAGAATATTAAAACACACGGCATTGTTTTCGTCGATTACAAAACCGGTGACTGACTGGTTCTACATATAAAAGAGAAGAAAATAAGACCTTGGCTGTAGCTGTAGTCAAATGACTATGGTTGTTTTAAGTAATGTTAATAAATGGAACAATAGAAGTATCTAACGATAACGGTAAAGAAAAAAAAGAGATCGCGCGCGTAAGTGGGCATGCGAAAAGATATCGTCATTACTTTACGTAAGAATACGAAAGCAACACTTATTTACTGTTCATATATATTGTAATTGATGTTTGTGAATTTGTTTTTATTGAATTAATGTTTGTGTGTGCAAAATTAACACTAGAATTTATTATTAATACGTGGAATATCAGAGGAGACGAGACGAGACGGCTGCCGGCATCGTTTACGTTAAAGCTCACAAAACCGGTGACCGATTGGTTGTACATATAAAACTGAAGAAAATAAGACCCTGATTTGAGCTGCAGTAAAATTAATGTAAAAAAATTAATATGCTCGTTTGAAGTACGTGTAATGTTAAAAAATGGAACAATATAAGTAGTTAACCATAAAAAAAGTGAGTGCGCACATGTGAAAAGATATCGTCATTACTGTACATAAGAATATGAAAGCAACACTTATTTATTGCTGAAGGGTTAAATGTTGTACTCTATAGACAAAGAGAGAGAGAGAGCAGCTGAAGTGCTGGATGTAAACAAACCTTAATTTCCTGGGGTTTTTTTTTTTTTGGGGATTAGCCCACCTGGGCATAAGTCACTGACCCACAATTTAATACTCCTGCTATAATAATGATAATTTGCAAGAAAAAAAAAAAAACTGCCTATGTACCTGTTGGAGAAAGTAAAATTGTTTTGGACCACGGGAGTTTGCGGAGCACAGAATGCCGGACTAGAGAGTTACAACCTGTAGTTGTTTGTGGACTTGAAATTGTTAACCTTTGTGGTCTTTGAATAATTGATAATGTTTGTCGACTTTGAATTTGTTTTGCCTTTTGTGGACCGGGAAATTTATGCGTCGGGTCCGAGGACCGGCAATAATTATCGACCCACGCGAACTCGGAATAACGTATTACGCCGGTGGAATCGGACTAATTTTTTATCCCGTGTGGACTTTGAATAATTGTGTATTTTGTGTGGAATTGGAATAATTGTTATCCTTTGAAAATGTCTCATTGTTTGTGTATTTTGAATAATTGTCAATTTCTGTGGACTTTGAATAATTTATTGTTTGTGTACTTGGAATAATGATCAATTTGTGTGGACTTTGAATATTTTGTGGAGTTTGAATAATTTATTGTTTGTGTACTTGGAATAATGTTCAATTTATGTGGACTGAATAATTAATGATGTTTGTGGATATTTGAATATTTTGTTATGTTGTGTGGAGTTTGAATAATTTATTGTTTGTGTACTTGGAATAATGTTCAATTTATGTGGACTTTGTATAATGATTGTGGACTTTGAATATCCTTTGTGGACTTAGTATTAATTGATCCTGTGTGGACTTTGAATAATTAATATGTATTTGGACTTGTTATTATTTTATCGTTTGTGGACTTTGAATAATTGTCAATGTAGACTGAGTATTTTTGTCATGTTGTGTGGACTTAGAATAATTTGTATCCTCTGTGGACTTGTAATAATTGTTAATGTATGTGGACTTGGAATAATTTATGATGTTTGTGGAGTTAGTATTATTTTAGCCTTTGTGTATGTTTGTGGACTTGTTATTATTTTATCGTTTGTGGATATAGAAAATGTTTTATCGTCTGTGGCTCCGTATTAATGTATTACGTCCGTGGACCGGGAATAATTTTGTATCGTGTGTGGACTTGTAAAAATTTTCATTGTTTGTGGACTTAGATAAATGTTCATATGTTGTGGAGTTAGTATTATTTGAACTTGTGTGGACTTGTAATAATTTTCAATGTTTGTGGACTTAGAATAACTTTTAATGTATGTGGACTTTGAATAATTGTCATCGATTGTGGACTTATTATATTTTTTATGTTTGTGGACTTTGTATTATTTTATTGTTTGTTTTTGTATTTGGAAATATTGTCATTGTTTGTGGAATTAGAAAAATTTTCATATGTTGTGGAGTTAGTATTATTTTATCCTGTGGACTTGTAATAATTTTCAATGTGTGTGGACTTGGTATATTTTTCATATTTTGTGCTTTGAAATATTGTCTTTGTTTGTGGACTTAGTTTTTTTTCCTCTTGTGGAATTGGACTAATTTATGTTTGTGGACTTGGAAAATTTTTTTATCCTTTATGGACTTAGAAAATTTTCATGGTGTGTGGACTTAGTATTTTGTTGTTGTTGTGTGGACTTCGTTTTTTTTCCTGTGTTGTGGACTTAGAAAATTTGTCGTTGTTTGTGGACATAGAATAATTTTCATGTTGTGGACTTAGAAAAATTTTCATCCTTTGTGGACTTAGAAAATTTTTCATGGTGTGTGGACTTAGTATTTTTTGTGGTGTTGACTAAGTATGTTTTTGGTTGTGTGGACTTAGTAAATTTTTCGTTCTTTGTGGACATAGAAAAATTTTCATGTTGTGGACTTAGAAAAATTTCATGGTGTGTGGACTTAGTTGTTTTTGCTGTGTTGTGGACTTAGAATATTTTCATGTGTGTACTTGGGTTTTTTTCATGTCATGTGGACTTAACAAATTTTTCGTTCTTTGTGGACTTAGAAATTTTTCATGTTGTGTGGACTTGGTATTTTTTTTTTTGTGGACTTAGTATTTTTTCATGTGTTGTGGACTTAGTATTTTTTTGTTGTTGTGTGGACTTAGTTTTTTTTCCTGTGTTGTGGACTTAGAAAATTTTCCATCCTTTATGGACTTGTAATAATTTCATGTGTGGAATTAGTATTTTTTGTTGTTGTGTGGACTTAGAAAATTTTTCGTTGTTTGTGGACATAGAATAATTTTCATGTTGTGGACTTAGTTTTTTTTCATGTCATGTGGACTTAGAAAATTTTTCATGGTGTGTGGACTTAGTATTTTTTGTGGTGTTGACTAAGTATGTTTTTGGTTGTGTGGACTTAGTAAATTTTTCGTTTTTTGTGGACATAGAAAAATTTTCATGTTGTGGACTTAGTTTTTTTTCATGTGTTGTGGACTTAGTATTTTTTTGTTGTGTGGACTTAGTATTTTTTTCATGTGTTGTGGACTTAGTATTTTTTTGTTGTGTGGACTTAGTATTTT